CCTGAGTATTTGTGATAATACTCACGCATCTCATTATGTTTGTGGTGTAGTTAAAGCAAAGTGTGACCGTGGAATCAAGGCGAGGAGAGAAGAATTATCTAGGGGCTCGCTGATTGTGTTATGGTTTTTGTTATAGCATTACTAGGATTTGTTTTCTTACTCAACATTGCTAGGATTTGTTATTTCTGGAATTTAGAAACATGTTAGGATGATTATGTTGTTTTTAGATGATTTGATGGTTTTATGATATTTGGTTATTGGATTGTTTTCTTTATTTGTTCTTCTGTTGGTTTATGTTTGGGTTAATCTGATTTGTTTGGTCTGCTTTGGTTTAATTGGTTTAAATTGATTTAGTTTGGTTTAGCTGGTTAGGGTTAGTTTAATTCGGTCAAATCTTTTCAACTATGGACATACATTTTATGGACTTAGAAACCATAACCCTACATGGAAATATTCTTAGAGGGTCTAGAACTATACATGGAGATCATTTTTGTGGACTCAAAACTCTCGACAAATATTTTATGAGATAAACTAAGTTTCTTTGGACACAAATCAATGGACAGGTGGCCTTGTTTATATTTTGGGTTTATGAGATAAACTAACATTCCAAAAGATGTTAATGTCTTAGGGTATAGATTGTGTTTCTTTGGACACAAATCAATGGACAGATGGCCTTGTTTATATTTTTGGTTTATGAGATAAACTAACATTCCAAAAGATGTTAATGTTTTAAGGTATAGAGTGTAACCTTTGGTCCTCTCTGCTTACTTAGTGTTCGATTTTTCTTTCCATTTAGTTTTTTTTTTATTCTAAGTTTGAGCTAGAAAAGTCATCTTTGTGCTTCTTATAATAAGGTTTGGGAATCCCATTCCATTAAAATATGGTTAAACTACAATGGTAATGCTTTCAAATTCAAAGATGATAATTTTTTTAATCATTATTAGAGTGACACTTCCAAACTTGTGTCCCTTTTTATCCCCAATGTTTTGATTTTTATCATCTAGTCAATCAGTGTTCTACTCCATTCCAATCCACATAACCCCCTCCCCTTATGTGAAACCACAACAATTGGTTACCATTTTAACTGTGCTTCCTACAATTATTTGTCACATGTAATCTTCATATCCAACTATTATCGTAGTGAGTAACTTTCTAAATTCTAACCCCTCCCCCCCCCCATATATACTATTCCCCTAAAGTTACCATGTTTAGAGTATAGACTTTATGGGTTTGATGAATAATGTTTTAACATCTTTGGTCAGACTTGTGTTTGGATATTTTATTGTCCCAAACAGTCCATGGACAGATAACGATGAACACACAACTTCCTCAATATCTCCCTAAATTTTCAGAGTTTAAGGTATAGACTTTTTTGTTTTAATGAATAATGTTTTCAAACAATCCATGGTGACCAGAAAACAGTATGAGCTTAAGACTGTATCCGGTGGACAACCCCTTAGGTTACCCTTCATGAGTTTTTTTCTTTTTTTCCACTTTGTTTCCAGGCTGTCCATGCTGCTATATGCCCATCAAACAAAACATATTTTGAACGAACCAAACTAAAGGAACAAACCCTTTCTCTCTCTTTCTTTACCAGCGAAGGTTTGTTTACCTTTATTAGGGCAAAGAGGTCTTTTTTTGGACAAACAGTACAGAAAGTTTTCCCTGCTTATATTGTGTTTTTTGCGTATATCTTAAAGAAAAAGTGCATTTTTGCGTATATCTTCTTGTTTTCTAGTCATACTTATTTTATACTAAAACTAACAAGGGTTAAATGGATCATTAAAAACAAGCATGACCGTATAAAAATCACGTTCTAATTTATAATAACTTTTATACGTGCGCTCGACAAGCGCAATAATTTTTTTTTCTTTTTAATGTGTTACATATAGGTTTTTTATCGTTTTTAGATTTATTAATTATTGCAAATTATGAGAACTATTACAGAGATAATTCTATCATGGCAGTTCCTTTCGACCCTATTAGATTCAAAATTGACAACACTCTTTTTTTAGCTTAAATACCCCCTTCTTCAAGCTGATCTTGGACACGTTCTTCTTCTTCAATAGCTTGAATCCCGCCGACCGGCTTTAATTGCGCATCACTGGAGATTTCCTGTAAATTTGTCTCCTTTAATCTGCATAATTGTTAATAAATCTCATTTTTTGGGACTCGGACCCCAGACCTCTTGGTGTAGAAGTATTACTAAAGCCTTAGTCAACATCACTAGTACAGGGGAAACCCATATTTCATATAGGTTTATTTTGTTCTACAAATTTATATTTTATATCTTTTGCTCTGAAAATTTAATGTGAATCCTAAAAAACCCACAATAAAATACCTAAATTACTATACAAAATAATCTTCCGCCTAAGTTGCGACATTTTATGTGGCAGGTGGTTACAGGCTGTATTTCGGTCAATAAAAATTTAGCCAGTAGAGTTTTAAATTGTGACCCATACTGTAGTAGATGCGGGGAACTAGAGTCGGTTAATCATAACATTTTCCAATGTCCGTCGGCACTACAGGCCTCGGGGTTTTTGCCAGTACCCACGGCACTAGGGAGTTTCCATCAGACTCGATTTATGTGAATATGAATTATTTAATTTTGCGGAAACCCAATGGGGTTGATATTTCAATGTATCCTTGGATTTTGTAGTATATTTGGAATGTCAGGAATGAAAAGGTATTTGATAATGTAGATAAGGATCCTAGGGAAATGTTGCGCCTGGCTGGAATGAAGCTTGTTCATGGGCAGTTGCACAGACGGAGGTTTCAATTGCGAAAAATCATGGGATCCCAAGCAACCAGCTCCTTCGGTGGAGGACCCTATGATAAGTTCTATAGGGTAACATGCTTCATTGATGGCTCCTAGAAGGTCGACGATAACTTTTCTGGAGTGGGCTGGTGCTGCATTTCATCGAGAGGTCTCTCAACAATGGGTGCGGCTAAACTACAAATGAGTCTTTCACCGCTAATACGGAAGTCGAAGCATTGATGTGGGCGATGAAGTGTATGATCGATGCATCCTGAAGTGCAGTGACTTTCATTACAGATTGTTCAGATTTGGTAGAGATGGTGTCTTCCCTAGCAGAATAGTCAACGTTCCCGTCCGACATATCTAGAGGAGATCCAAGCAGATAAGGAAGTGTTTTCTTCTTTCTTTTTATAAAAATTTCTTCATTGTTCTAATATTCAAGTGGATAAGTTGGCACGCCGAGTGCGTGTTGAATCGCTACTTTGTCTTGGGAATTAAGAGGAATATAAAAAGAGACTAAAAAATAAAAAATTTCCACCCTTTCTTTCCTCTGAGTTGGCTTGCAGACCAAGGAGGATCAACGTCTCATTGTATTCCGCAGCTCTTTCAATTGACGACTAATCTCCCAACATGCTCAAGAACCAAGAGCCGCCCAGGGATTGGACGGCCATAGGGAGCTTACTTATGAAGATAGGCCGGTCAAACAAAAAAAACGCGCAACGGGCTCCCCGCTCCTACTTGCCTCACTAATTGGTAGGCTGAACCGCATCAGGCCACACACGCTGAATCGGTATCACTTTCGTTGGGAAAGACAAGACGCACAGCACAACGGGGTCGGCATCGGATAGCGAGAATTTTTAAGGTTTCGCTCTCTCCTTATTGGTCCATTTAGCATTTATTTTTAATTTTAATATTTATTTTAAATTAAACCAAATATCAAAAGAATTTAATCATATACTTTAATTCATACTTGAAATCCACACTTTACTACTAAATTGTAATTGAACCCTCTTTCTTCTCCCGCTGCAGATTTTGCCCTGCGCGGATTCTGGAGCTTCTTCTTTAGTCTAGGATAAAGGACTTAAGGTCGCAGACAAGGATAATTTGAATTATATAACTTGTGAAATGACTATTTGTTTCCTCCATTCAATTTCAATTAACACACTATATATTATAATTATAACTCCTCTAATTTAATTATTTTAAAATTATAACTTACATCATATTTTATCCTATAAATACACATTCTTACATCCTCCCCCACCATATCAGATACCCTCAATATTTTCTTTGTTTTATTTTTTAATGTTCTTGCATGGGTTGAAAGCTCAATTAAGATATCATTGTAAGAGCTTGATTATATATTTGGTTTAAATTTTTGTTTTGAATTATCTTTCTTCTTTGTTTTATTTTTATGCACTTCTTCATTTCTTCTTTGTTTTCTTATATTATTAAATGTATAATAATATTTTATGGCTATAAGAAAATTACTTTATCGATAGAATTCAAAAATATTGATTTCCGACCATCGCCCCATAATAAAATCAACCTAAAGAAACCATCTTCATTCATTTACTTTAGATGTTTGTTTCTTTCTCACATATTCATGTATATTTATTTTATTTTCAAAAGTATGTAATTATTTTAACAAAATAAATTTTTGTTATATAATTATCAAACCAATTTGTAAGACATTGAAATGAATAAAATTTTATACAAAAATAAAGGTAATTTGTGTGTATATTTATAAGCTTACACACATATTTGGATAAATTTCAACATTTTTAGTGGTTTTTTGATAAAGTTTTTAAAAGGAGTAAATTTAAAAAGTGGTATTTGAAAAGGGGTATTTTTAAATTCTCCCAATATCATTTCTATTTTTATCATTAAGAATATTATTTTTTTATAAAAAAAATACTCAAAAGTATTGAAAAAATTACCATCAACATTGAACAATTAATCAACGAATGAATTTAAAAGATATGTATGTATGCTTCTATTGTATGATTTAAATAAATAAAATGTAAAAATGTCATAAGCATTAAAATTTATTTTAACTATTTTTCATAAGTAATAAATAAATTAAAATTAATTAACTAAATATACAACAACCCGCTCATATGCGCGGGCATTACCTAGTAGCATAAATAGAAAAGTTATTCATGGATTGGGCCAGCAAATTCTTATCACACAAAAACTTGTATAGTTTTCTAGAGAGGATCCTAGCAAGGATAGTTCGTTCTTAAGTTAAATTTATGGACTTGTTATTGATTTTTTTACTAGCTACTGTGGTTGAGTTTTACAGGCAAACTGAATAACCAGAAGTTACGATCAACAATTAACACATAAGAAAGAATGATACTCCAATAGTAGCTATGTTAAGTAAAACAAAACTCAGTCACTATGCACTGACTGATTCACAGGTGTGATCATAGCCTTTTGAAGAAGTTCATAGCCAGCTAAGTTCAAGGCTCCAAGAGGAGCAGTCCAGAAGAACCTTGGAACAGCTCCTTTGTAGAAAGCCAGAGGACCCTCATGTGTGAGTATGGAATAAGCAGCCATCCACATCGGAAATTCTACGCCTTGTGGAGCAGTCATCATTCTAGTTTTAATCACATCGAATGGCGTTGTTAAGACAGCAGTGAAACCACCGGACAAGGCTCCAACCGCAATGGCCTCCCACGGCTCTAACTCTCTTCCTAATTGTCTCTCCACCACCTGTGAAACTCAATCCCAACCACAACATATTAAATACACGAAGACATGTGATGGTCCTGCTTCTGTTCTATCATGATTACCTTCTTTGATTGGTTGTAAAGTCCCATGCCAGCAACGTAAAACGGAACCTCGCGTAGAAGTGTAACACCAGTCCCACGGAAGAGTCCTTTGAGCCCTTCTTGATTCCAAGTCGAAACTGTAGCTTCCACTATGTTATCAAACTGGTTAGCTTGTAACCGTTGTTTCAATACCTCACACGGTATTCGCAGTGTAGTCCCCAAAACAGTGCCAAGAAAAGACGCGATTGACTGAACCTACAAGAACCAAGAAGAAAACCAAATTTAAAGAATGAAACATGAAGTTGGCAATGAGCTATTAACAACTAACTTGAATGTCGAGGAGAGAAGGAGCAACGAGAGGTAACGCCAATTTACTTGCTTCATATATACTTGTTCGTAAACCATGGCTGAAACATCAAAAATAAGAGATAAGATAATGACCATACTTAAACAAACATACCCAAGTCAGAGCATAGGAGATCAAAACCTTGCAAATTGACCAACAACAGCAGGAACAGAGCCTTTATATAAACCTCGAGCACCAATCTCAGGAATCTTTGACAATATCTCCACAAAAGACAATGTTGTTGATGCTTGAACTTGTGTCTAAATAAACCAAAACACAATCACATAACTAATAAGAACAATCTCATAAACACTAACACAAGAACCTGAAACTTAGTCAAGAGATGATTATATTACCTTGACAGTATCCACAGGATGCATAAGAAAAGCAGAGAAAGCACATGAAATCCCTCCAGCTAATGCAGATTTAACAAGATGACCAACATCTAATCCAACTCTTGTCCTAACAATTACAGAGTTACTCCTACACATAACCCAAAAACCATATCAAGTCTCAAGATGTTCCAAAAAAAAAAACAGTATCTACAACGACAAGGCTATTGTCCTCACTCCTCACCTATTATCAAAGTTATTGCCTTTAACAAGATGACCAACATCTAATCCAACTCTTGTCCTAACAATTACAGAGTTACTCCTACACATATCCCACTTTAGTCTCAAGCTACAACTACAACTACAAAGCTATTGTCCTTACCCAGTAACAAAGCTATTGCCTTTATTGATCAACGGAGCTATATCATTGGATCTTGAAGTAAAGGTTCCAACTTTGGCAAAATTTAAGCTACACGAATCTGAATTCTTTGTTTTGCGCAAACAAGGATTTTGAGAATAAAGAAACAAATCATTAAGAATAGAGAGAACTAGAGTTTCATGTGATATATGTTCTCTACTCAGAGCTTTATCCACCATTCTTGATTTCTGTGGATCTTTGGATGAACTTTGAATCGCCAACGTAAACAGTTCTTCAATCGTCGTCATCAGAGAAGAAAAAAGAAATGTGATATCAGTGGGAATATTTTGAGATTTGGTCAACGTTTGATCCAAAGTTTAGTTGGTATAAAATAATGTTGCCTTTAAGGTGTTCGACGAAATGATAAGTGTGTTAAAATAAGGTCTCGTTGTTCCCTTTATTGAATGAAATAAAGGTTTCGTTGCACTTGGTATCCTAAAAACTAACTTCAATCTCTTCAAGTTCATAATTTTCTAATTACACAGAATCCTCCAAAATAATGATTGTTATAAAAGATGTGGTTTTAGATTAAAGAATAAAGAGAAAAATATAAATTTACGCGAAATTTTTTTTTTACGTATGAATTATCAATAAATATGCAAATAAGTGTAAATTTAACAGTTTTTCCCCATACTAACTTAATGCCTAATGCCCAAAACGTCTAATATGTAATTAAGCGATTGTAGACGGTTTAATGTTTACAACTATATGTGTTATTAACTGATAAAACGAAATTTCATCAAAATGTAAAGCCAAAAATTTACATATCTTTAGATGACCGCAAACACATGTTTTGTTTGCTTGGCTTCAATGTCGGCTCTAGCTATGTGATGTGAAGGGAGACACCATTTTGCATCGAGCAATGGACTCAATCCGTCTCACTCTCATGCCACCGGAAAAGAAATAAATATCTACTTTAGAAAAGAAGGAAAAGAGAGAATGGAACGATTGTCCTTATCCTGTTCGAAAATATTTTATATTTTTGTTATTTTGCTTTTCTTTTGTGCTAGCTTGTCTAACATTTACTCTTGGAATTGTTTTAACACCGAAAATTTTACTTTAAATTATTTTAAAAATGTTTAGAAAATTCAATGTCTTTGTAACATAAAAAAATCTTCACACCGAGGTTATTATAAGAAACACACTCCAAAGATAAATGATTTTCACTCTACTCTCTCCACCATGGAAGATCCAAAGATACACTACCCACGTAGCTTCTCACATGACCACTCCTTCACACTTCCTCTTTATTTGGTCTCTCCGACCGATCTTTCAAGGAACTTCTTGAACCATTTGGCTGAATCTTTAGGATAACGTTTGAGCCCATCAGCATAGTCAACATAGTAAAGACCAAACCTAACAGTGTATCCATGTTCCCATTCAAAGTTGTCCATCATTGACCATGCATAGTGTCCTCTTACATCACACCCATCCTTCCTATAAACATAATATTACTTTCATTAACATAAATGGTCTATATCTAAGATACTGAAATAAACATTGTCACAAAGATGAAGATTAAACCCAAAGAAAGATCAAGAACTAACACTATAGCATTGTGAAGTGCTTCAAAGTGTGCCTTAAAGTAATCAATCCTAAACGTGTCATTAAGTATCTCTTCTCTTGGTCTTGTTCCATCGTCCGTCTCATGGATTCCTAAATTTCAATTATCAAAAACGTAAACTATATAAATAGTTTTATTAAAATTATATAATTTTGGTTAATAATTGACTAAATATATATATATATATATATATATTTAAATCAAACTAATGTTCTAACCATTCTCCTTGATGTAGACTGGAATGTTATTGTATTTATCCTTAACATAGTTAAGAACTTTTCGTAAGCCTTCCGGGTATGACAATATTAAACCACTTCCAACCTAAAATTTTAAAAATTTTAAATATACTTTAAGATGATCAATTATATATAGCATTGAAAAATTAATAGTAATTATGAAAAAATAAGTATATTCTTACCCCATTTCCAATGATATGACCACTATGATCAGCCACTGTTTCAAAACATATTATAAAGTATAGTTAAAAACTTAAAATTAGTATATGAAACAAGTCTACAGTAATTTTAATTAGCATTACGTACGTTTCCTTTCAACAAGATTGTCAGTCTTGCACCGAGGCTTTTCAGGGTCGATGTCATCAAGAAGAGTTGCGAAGCGTGCTGTATAGTAATTTATTCCGACAAAATCAGTTGAACCTTTTAACAGTTGTGACTGTTCTGTAGTAAACAAAGGTAATTTGTCTCCGGCATATTTTTTTACAGTCTCTGGGTAATCTCCATATATGAGTGGATCGAGATGCCTATACGAATAAGAATTTTAAAAAGTTAATATTACAAGTAGATAGAAATGATGCACGTAAAATACGTACTAAACCACTATTGAGGATCTGAATGGTGACAGCGTATTTGACTGTATGGGAGAAGCGGTTTTAATATGCGGTACGATTCAACTGCGGTATTTAAAAAAATAAATTTGTGGGAAAAATGCGATTTGTGATTTTTTTAGACCGCTAGGTTAATACTACTTATGTTTTTTAAAACGTTTCATGCATATATATGTTGGTTAATTTCGCAAATCTCAAAAAAAAAATTCAAAAAACACTAACAAAAACAAAATTGGCTTGAATGGTTACATATGTGCATTATTGCGGTGCAGGACGAAAAACGCCCGCTTTTATGGTCACTATTCATGGCCTGAGTTTGAGTTGCTGGCGGAAAAAAAAAGTAGATAGAAATAATGATATAAGCAAAATCATCTTAAAAAGGAAAAGTCTTTAGATAACTTACCATCCAATTTCAAACGCAAGAGCTCGTTCAACTGCATCTTTATCATCATCCGAGTCTGAATTATAAGGCTCATGCCATATTGGTGCCAATACTATTCCAATTTTACTATCATGAGATATTTTTTTGCATTTTCGGAATTCATCTACGGCAGTGGCATGAGCAAGAAGAGTGTTGTGTGAAACAATGTAAGGCTCAGTACTAGAATCGCCGGCCTGACTTATTTCATTTACCCAACTCGAGCATCGTCCGGGCGCCTTGTTACCATTATCGTAACCTGCAATGGCCATGATGTATGGCTCATTGATAGTTGTCCACATTTTAACTTTATCTCCCAATTCTTCAAAACAAACTCTCGCGAAATCTCTAAAATCTTCTCTGTTTTAAAATTAATCAAAAAAATTAACATCAGTTGTTTGTAAAATAACAATAGTTTTGGTGTTGGATAGTATATGTTAATTAGGCTTACACGATTTTAGGACTTAGAAATCCACCATATTCGTCATCCAAGGATTGTGGATGGTCCCAATGATACAACGTCATTGAAGGTTGTATGTCTTCATATTTAGCAAAACATATAATTAATATGTGACGATTACATCAATATTATGATTTAATTGTATTAAGTATATAATTTTAGCATAATTACTGGTGTAATGTTATGTTCTTACCATTAGCAAGAAGTTCGTCTATGAGGTCCTTATAGAACTGTACACCTTCTTTGTTTACCCCATCCTTCAGCTTTCCAGCTATTGACAAATTAAATTTCACCACAAAATAATTCGTTTAAATCATTAGGCCCACTAATTGGAAAGTACATTTCAGAACAACTTTAACTAAACTTAGAATATCATTGAAAATTGTGTAAATTTAGTTATCTCATTAAGGGTAAAATAGTTTAATACAGTATAAATTAAAATAATTAACTAAAAACACAAGAATATATTTAATCTCTCTTCATATGATGGGTATATCATTTAGAATTTAACTAATTAAATATGTTTATTGCATATTAACCAAAAAAAATATGTCTATTACAGGATTTATTTTTTAAGAAACATTTTAGCATCAATTTCTAAAAATGTGTAAACATAAGAGCCTTGACATCCAATATATATATATTAAGCAATTGTCTTTAAAATTCGTTGTTTGAAGCAGTTGTATTTGACACCAAAAAAAAAAATGCAGTTGTGTTTAAATGTTTTTGAATCAACTTGACGACCCATCACTAATCTGCTCTGGATCCAATATTAAAATTTATTAATTATTAATTTGGTAAAATCCATTAAACAAACCAGAAAAATTAGTATTGATCTGTGACCCTATATTACTAGTTATAGATTTAAAATCATACCAAAAAAAGTTATAGATTTAAACAGTTGTTGTGTTGTATTTGATAAAATACTATAAGTATATTTATTATATCACTATTGATGTGTTGTATTGATGATAATGATGTTGTAATATTTATTACAATGGTGAGATATATTACAAAACTTATCTACAATTCTTATTATATTACTATTGATGTATTGTGCTGATGATAATGGTGTTGTAATGTTTATTACAATTATGAGATGTATTACAAAAATTATCTACAAATCATGGTCCAAGTATGGACCTAGTTGTTATCATCAACAAGTCAGAGAGATGTTTTTCCGACATAAAAAAGAGACATGTTTAAAACTTACTTGGAATTATTCTAGACCACGAGATTGAGAATCGGAATGAGTCCATGTTTATCTCCTTCATTAATTTTATGTCATCCTGTTTTGTTTGGCTAATTAGAAAAAAACATATGGACTAACCAAAAATGGAAACTAAGTACATGCAAGTGCAAGCTTAGGTAGAGAGTGTACCTTGTAACGATGATAAAAATCAAGAGCTACATCTCCATTATGCATTTTGGTCCTTTCTGAAGTCAATGATGAATTATTAAATCAATCGTAATTAAGTCTTTTGTCCCAAGTCACAAATAATTCTGAATCAATTTTGAATTTTTCCTTGTTTACAAATTTTTGATTTTACCATTTTTTAAGTAACAAAAATACGATTAAACATGCATTTTATTTGTTATATTAGAGTTTAGTCGGTTTTAGTTGTCTTTAGAATTAGTATTTACTATTAAATACGTATTTTAGAGAAAAAGACATTTTTAAAAATTCAAAAATGAAAAACTCATAAGATTTGAGCAAAAAATAACATTTTCGTAAAATTTATCGTAGGAAATAATATTTTTTGTAAGAACTCCCAATAATACAATAGAAATGTCAAATGTGGTATGGTTGGTAGGTATAGTGTCAAGTCCATAGATTTTATTTTTCTGTAACCGGACAAACCTGGATAAGTGTGGCTGAAATGGTCCCATATACTTGGAGACTTGCCACCTTCATTGGTTGCACCTTCGTACTGCATTACATCATTTATATTTTAAAAATAGATTCAGAGCTAGGGTTTGTTTTAGTTTTTTTTTATCTTTTTTTTTTGTTATAATTAAATGAATACAAAATTACAAGAACAAGCTATGAGCTTTTGGGTAATAAAGTTTCTACTTCTTAGAATAAAGTTTCTTCTTCTTAGAGAGTGGTAGAATAGTAATGGATTAAGTATATAGACTTAAAGATGAATCTGATGACCATTTCAAAAGCTTAGTTTATAATGACAAAACATGATCTGTTTTACCATGAAAGTGATCGAGTAGTATGTATTAAAAATATGTAATTTGGGAATGAAAGAAACTTAATTACATAATAAAATATGGTTTAGCTAGTTTTCTCTGTTAAGATGATCGAATAATCGAAACTGAATTACCCAAAAGCTAGATATTCTTTTGTCCCCAAACAAAACATTATAATAACTTTACTGTGCAGGTTTTAATTTTTCTTTATCTACTATTTATTATCTCACATTTTAATAGTTTTCTCTTCATCTTTTATATACATATCAATATCTACATAATTTTGTTCACATGATTTTGTTTTTAAATGAATTATTAGCTAAACATCATCTTTTCCAGGCTTAATATTAATTTTCTTGTGTCTTACAATCACAATTTTATTATTTACCATATTTTTTTGAATATTTTGTGTTAATAAAACTAGAGTGAACACGTTAATAAAATGAAAAAAAAAATCGAAATTCTCATTAATCAAATTAATAGATATAATCAAGGAGAGAAAATCATATGTGGACAAAAAACACACACGAAACTATTTCAAAATGACTTTACGTTTTATTGGGGTCTTTGAAATATTAATCAATCACTATCTCAATGTTTTTGTGAAATTTAGTCAGTAAGAAAACTTTATCTTGCCATCTAAGATTAAGAGTTAAGATGATGCAGACTACTTTGTCCCATATATATTATATATTTGACTTTCCATTCATTTTACATTCAAATCTTAGCTGTCTTGATTAAGTTTTACTGGTTCACCTTTCTAATTACATAGACTAAAACCACCATGTTTTGCAATTTCATTTGTCAATAGTATATAATATACGAATTTAAGTCCGGAGTAATACTAACATAAATGATTAGCTTACATGTCTATAATTGAATTTTTTATTACTAAAATAGTATTTTCAAAGACAAATCTTATCATAAATACCTCTAAAATTGGAAAAGTTTCTAAAATATTTATAAAAAACATCTCAAAAATACCACAAAACAAAAACTAAAACTAAATTAACTTTTAACATTCAAAACTAAACCCTAAATCTTATATATTAAACTATACCCCTAAAACCTATACCTTAAATCTAAAATAGTCAAGCCAAACCCAAATAAATATATTTTTTACACCTTTAACAATCAAACTTTGAATTTATGTTATTTTTAGAAAACAATATTTGTGATATATTTAGGAGAAATAAACTTTGTAATAGTGTTATTTCTGGAAAAACAACTTCGCTAATTCTATTTTAAATTGGCTTGATATATAGAAATCTCAATTATTTGTTTTACATAAAACTGTAAATTTCAAAAATAGAAAAAAATATAATCCTATAAAACACAAAAAAAAAACCATTAAACAAAAGCTTAACTTAACTGCGAAATTACGTACATAGTTTGAGAATTGTTTTATCATAAACTAGAGAACTTCATGTATTGATCAAAGTCTTATAGAATCACATAACCAACACAAAGTGTGCTTTACCTGAAACGATGAACCAGCCGTTCCAAAAAGGAAACCATCAGGAAAACTATGTCTATCTAGTTTTAGAGAATCAATCGTATTTGCCATTTTCATATCTCTCTCTCTTTCTCTCTTTTTCTGTTATTGTTGTCTTTGTGAGATTTTGAAAGTGATGATATAGACATAAGAGAGTTTTATACTTGGTCATATATATAGAGGATTATATTTTCAATACGTTATCTACGTGGAAATAATTTAGTCTTTGTTTTTCCTTTTTTGGTGTAATGACATACATATAAGCATATATCTAGCTTAGATAGTGTCAGAACTCAGTTTTCTTGAAAAAAAAATTATAATATTTCTTTTTTTGGTCCTTTACACCAACCAAATATATCTTTATTCCACATGCATACAGACTACTTTTGTTTTGTCTTTGATATTCCATTTCTGGGTGTTTAGGGTTTTACCATTATCTGAATATTTCCATGATTACTGTTCATTTAAATATATTTTTCTAATACTTTTCTCACATACATATGTGTGCAAATTATAATTGATTAGGAAAGAGTTATTTTTGATGGCATTTTTAGATTTTGCATTTTGGTGTACATATTTTAGATTTGTGCCATTTAAAAAATTTAAAAACATTTTTTTGCTTCAAGTTTGAGTTTTCTTGGTTCCATTTTTATAGGGTTTAGTATTTGTTATATGTTTTTGCTTCATATTTTAAGATTAACATGTGTTTAGTCCATAAGAATTTCCCTTGGATAGCATCTTTTAAGTATTTTTAAATACTATCATTTGTCTTTTTTACAAAAATACCACAAAAGTTTTATTTTTCCAAAAATAACAGATACATAAAAAATTAAATTTTGAAGATATAGTTTTTTTTTTATGTGTGGCTTGACTATTTACATTTAGGATATAGTTTTAAGGGGTATGGTCTAGTATTTATGATTTAGAAATTAGTTTTTCATGTTCAAAATTTAAGTTTTAGTTTTGTGGTATTTGGAAAAATTGTATTTTGTGGTATTTTTAGAGAATGAACTTCATGATGTTATTTTTGGAAAAAACTCAGTTTACTGATTTTAAGAGAATTCCCCTTAATTCATTGTGTTTAGGTTAAGTCGATTCTATTTTTTCTTACAGTTTAATATTTGTGATAAAGTATGTATCTTAGAGAAAAAAAATGTTCATTTGTAAGTGTTTAAAAAATGGCATATCTTTAAAAATAAGAGCGAAAACGACACATCCGTAAATTTGAGTAAGAAAATGGTAAAAAAAATGTATAAATTTTCAAGTGGCCAAAACGACAAATCTACAAAGTCAATAAGAAAATAGTATATCTAAAATTTTTGGATCATAAAATGGCAATTTCAACAAGAATCCGGTGCAAATTAATGTTGATGTTGAGTGTCGTTAACATCATGAGGGCTACATGCACTGTTAGCATATAGTGCCAACAGTGAAACTACTTCGTGGAACAATTAGAATTTCACATGTGTAACTTAAGTATTTAAGTACATCATCTAAACACTCTTTTAAGAAAAAAAATGTTTGATAAAAAAATATATCTATTTTTAAATTGTTACTAGGGTCATTTAGGTGATTATTGATATAAAAAAAAAAGAATGGAAGAATTTATGCTGATTGGAGTGATGGTCAAAGGTGGCGTCAGGTGGTCAGAGGTGGTGGTCGTTGGTGGTGGCCGGTGGTCGTTGGGCTGACAGTAATGGTGACCGGTGGTCGGAGATGGTGGTGGCCGTTGGTGGAGGATGTGGTGACTGGAAATGGTGACCGGTGGCCGCGGGTGATGGTGACGGGTGGCCGGCGGTGGTGGTAACCGGTGGCCGGTGGTGGTGGTGATCCGTAGCCGGCGGTGGTGGTGATCAGTGGTCGGCGGTGGTAGTGATCGGTGGCCAGTGGTGGTGGTAACCAATGGTCGTCGGTGGTGGTGACCGGTGGTTGGCGATGGTGGTATAGATAGGAGGTGGTTGGAGGTGAAGTGGTGGTTGGAGGTGGGGTGGTGGTGATAAGAAGGGGTAGAGGAGAGTGGGGTTAATCCTGTAAATAATACATAAAATATAGAGAATATCACTTTTAATAGGTTAGTTTGTAAATTATAACTTTTTTGAAGGTTGTTGGTGCCAAAATCTCTTGTTACTATGTTAAACCAAGAAAAATAAGTTGTTAGGCCATGTGCATTGCAAGGACTGCATTTGTTATAAAAAAAAACACAGACAACCAATCGCGGGCCGCCACATGTCAGTGAGACCCGCGAAGAAGGCAGGGACCGTCCCTCTTGGACGTACGTCCCGCTTTTTTTTTTCTCTTTTCAATTTTTTTTTTAGTTTTTTTGGGTAGGGGACATGGCAAGGGCATTGGGGACATGGCAAGGACTACCAATGCCCTTGCCCTTACTATATATAGAAAAAAACAAGTATATTTGTAACAAGAAAACATGAATCAATGATGAATAAGGAACTTATTTTTAATGGTATTTATAGATCTTCCTACTTTATCAAAAAACTTTTAAAATTGCCCTTTTTTATATACAAAACACAAATTTACACATGTTATTTGGGTTTATTAGGTTCTAGTTATTTTTGTAGGGTACAAAATTTGTTATGAAGTATGTTTTTTTATGAAAACAATTTCTCAATTATTTAATTTTTAAAAATAGAAAATAGCAAATTTGTAAAAATATTGAGAAAATGGCAGTTTTGAGGAATAGTTAGTTAAAATGTCACTTTGAACAATAATCCCGGAAAAATGCTATTTAACCATACTATAGCGTAAAAAAAAAAGTTCTATATTGTATCTTCTATAATACTATCGATAAGAGTATATTGTATAGTGTTTTCATAAAATGTAACATTTTCTTCTATGAAATTGTAATACTCTTATAATATATATCACTTCCATTTTTGTTATTATGTCATTATCCATAGAGATCTGAATTTAAATTTTGAATTTTATACTTTTGAAATATTCATCAATTATAAGGGGCAAAAGAGATATTATAGATACTGTCAATTTACAAAAACCTTATACCACTAATTAATATACGAATATAGGTGATAAAATCCAGCTTTTGAAATTGGTCTCCAAATCTTTAAAAAGATCTTTACGCTACTGTGAGGTCATTGTCACAATTTCTGTGCTATGACAATCCAACAACGACCTTGCTGTTAACTCTACAAAATTACAAACACATGATTCTTGATAGCAACAGTGAATTCCTCACTTGTAGCACTAGCTTTAGGCCATCGGAATATCTTAGATGGTATTTTAGGGTAAGATTTTTTTAAGAAAACATGTTATACAAATTACCGTTACAAAGTTACAACCAACAATTCCTCTTGGACTATCCCAAGAGAGAGCAATGAACTGATATAAAGCCCCATGTGTAACAAGTAAATAGTTTTGTAAATTTTGTTAGGGCACCTCGAAAGGGAGGTTGTTAGTGAAGTTCATAAGTTTATTGTGGACAAAAAATAAATCAAAATGAACAATTAAAATCACAAGGAAAAGCGACGTTGATTTGGGGATTTAAGCATTTCGTTTAAGGCAGCACGACGTCGCTGGTCCTTGTGATTCTCATTTTTCGACTTAACAGAGATCGATTAACGATCCTAAACGGTTGTTAAATCCTCTGTTAGAAGATTTGATTTGACGACATGTTCAATCTGGCTCAGTCAACAGAAGATGGTAATTTAAAAATAACGTCAACGAGAAGTCTATGATTTTAATAGTTACAATAGAAATCGAAGATTAAAAAGACCAAAATTTGTAAGTTCAAAATTTAAATAATAAAATATCAATGTCGTATAAGTTTGCTCCAATGAAACATATTTGAACTAGATGACCTCGACTATTGTAATAAAGAAACATTAAGTAAGATCTTACGTCATGCACATAGGTTAGTTTTATTTTATTATTACCCTTTTTATCTTTGCATTCACTATTGTTTGTGTTTAGAGTTTTATATAAGTATTAGAAATATAGTTTGTGGGAATAATATCGACTACATAAAGCAAAGATGTTAACAAAATACATAAAATGTTGAGATGCATATTATTTTGAGATTCCAAATCAAAATTTTAAATGCTTAGATTCATGGTTGATTTGATTAAAATAGTAGTTAATTACATGCACTTACAATAATTATTATTATATAAGTTTGTAAAGAATATGGCATAATTAGTCAGTGTATCACACATGTTCTAATTTAATAGCATATATATAACTTAAACAACTAAAGCTAATTTTTTTGTACAGAACACAAAATATTTAAAAGATCAGTTCACCTAGAATCAATTATGAATTTGCCCCTTTTTAGAGTAATTTTTTGGATTCGCCATTTTTCATAAAAAAATTTAGTTTTACTATTTTCAGGTTACAAAATGTGATTAAACATGAGTTTTACTCGTTATGTTTGACTTTAGTCGGTTATATTTGTTTTTAGATTTTAATATTTACTATTAACTATGTATTTTAGCAAAAATATAAAATCATAAATATAGATATTTCTAAATGACAAATCCAAAAGGTTGTAACAAAAGTGACATGCATAAAGTTTTCCTAAGAATCCCAGTAAACTATTATCTCCACACAATTAAAATGGTTGGTCCCATTTATTGATAAGTTCTCATGAAATTGATAGAGATGTGTATATATGGTGGCCAATGGCACGAGAGGTGTGTGTGGGTGGGGGTACATTTTTACTTTAGAAAATTTGGACAACAACATGCAACATAAACGTGCCTACACTCATCAATTCTCTAGAAAAAAACAACAAAAATAATTAAGCGTAACAACATTATTTCCTTCTTTATAGTTAGCCAAAAAACATATTCTTTAATAGGTATCATCATTAGCCTTCTATTTTTTTTTTTTCAACAAAACAAACTGAGATGAGCTCAAATGAGTCAACTGGAGCGACAGTTATTTATAAACTTGACAAGATACAAACTGTAACAAACTTTTCATGCTAAGGTATCCGTTTTTACATTTAAATTCTTTAGAATAAGAGATAAATAAATTTCAATTTTTTCCTATTAATGTTGATATCATAACGCTGGTCACTCGGAAGGAGAAGACACATCTTCACCAATTTTGAACAGTCATTAAGGAACATAACATCTCTGTAATTATGGTCAATCATGCATCTCATCGCCCACACCAGAGGTTCTATTTCAGTTTAGAGAGGTGTTAGACTTCAGCAGATATTTGAAGCTCCGATAATCGTCGAAGAATTCTGAGCGTGATGACAGAACCATCCTTCTCCTGTATACATATATGTATTCTTTCAAGAGCTTCATGTTCAAGATCAGTTTTTTACTAGGAGATGTAAAAAAATAAGGATAGGATAGAAGAAGGATTATCACAAACTTTTCCCTTTTTGTTAATAGCTATGCTCATGAGTTATGTTCTCTCGATGGTGAAATATGAACTTTGTCAATAGCGATATATATTTTTATATATAAATATTAAAAAATCTTTGATTTTGTATATCAAATATGTTTATCTTAAAGATAAGTAAATGATTCAAGAATTCTCTAATAATTATTTATTTTAATTTGTAACAAAAATATTGTATATAATAATATTTTATCAATATATATTTATTTAGGTGTATACACTTGTAGATTTAGAAATAAATTTATATGTACCTAAATCTACGTATAAATTTAGGTGTCAGCCTGATATAGAGATTTTATTAATAGTGTTTCTAATGCCAACCAAAATAAAAGAGACATAAATTTCAAGAAATGCACATTTTTTATACCATATTTCAAAAATATTCTTTCTCTTTAAAAATATGAAATCTACCTTATATAAAAGGCATGTCTTAGCATATCTTAAGGTAAGAGATGCTTAAGAGACCTCCATTAATGAGATGCTTAAGGTAAGTATGCAATACAGAATGTCCCAATTTTTGAAAATTGCAGATTAGTGATACAAAGCCTGATATATAAACAGTTGAACAATATATTTTTAAAAAGAGACACATCAAAACTAACATTTTTAAACTTTTCCAGAAAATAAATACTCTCCATTTTTACGAAATATAAAATCATTTTCAGAATTTTAATTAGTCTCATTTTCTAATTTATATATATAGTTTAAAGCGCTATCTTTTAATATAGATAGATTCAGAGTCTAAGACATAATGATTGGGCGTATTATAGCGCGATGCTACTAAAATATCCTTGTAGTGATTTTTTTGCTTAAAATGAATAAATTTAGAACAAATAATCCATTGCTGCAAAGTTAACTGACAACCCAACTTTGGAAATAATGGGAAATCTTGAAAGCACTAAAAATAGTAAAAAACAAAGAATTGAAAGAGACGAGACAAAAATTGTCCTATATATAGAAACACAATAATTTATAATTTATCAATGCACAATAACCTCAGAATTAGAAGACATCTAAGATTGTTCAAGAGGCATTTACAACAGAGAATTCAACTACTAAAACATGTGTTCAAGATGTGTTACAATTTCAAAATTTTCATACAAATAAATGGATCCACTTTCTTATTTTTCCTTAAACTTATTTAAGCACTCGAAAAGTGTAGTCAGTGTCATTGGATTCTATAGTATTTGACATAGGAAAGTGATTTTTTTATTTATAAATTGTCATATAAACTTTGTGTCTCATATATTCATAATATCTAAATTGTGAGATACCACAAAATAAAATGTTAGGATTGAACAGATTTCAAAACTATATCCACGATATATTATAGTCGGATCACCTCATTTATATTCTTCTTCACACCAAAATACTTACATTAGATAATTTTTTCATTACTGCAAAAAAGTTTTAAAAATGTAAAAGTATCTGGTATCACCATAAAATAATTTCAAAGCTAAACTAGTTTTTATTTACTAACAATCTGAATAATTATCTTTCAAGTCACCACTTCTTGGTTATAACTTTACATTATTACAAAAGTATATTTAAATGCAACTGTTGGATGAACCATTGCAATTTGCAACATTTAGTTTATTTTCGAACTATTGTATGAATCGTCGCAATCTTATGCCACTGTTGAGGTAATCCATGGATGGTAACATGAAGAATGAGATAATTTCTACTTTAGTCGTAAAGTAGCGACTACACTAAGAAAATTCATCTCATTATATAATAATATATTTTATTATACAAATTTTCATTAAACATAATTTTGATTATATAATTTTTGTCATTATGCGATTTTGCATTGTTATTATGCAATTATACAGTAATACATTTTAGGTAATTCTGATACGAAAGCAACTCTTTTACCACTAGACTACGTTAATATATTATTTCACACACTAGATGAATTATCCATTTTTTCGATATTAAAAAGCTTTTGATATCTTCCCTACTTTAACCGTATGTAACTATGTACATACAAAGAAGATTCTCTTATCTTTTAGTAAGATAAACTCATAATAAAGTTGCATCCCACTTGACAAGAATCAATTCTACTAGTTACCCACATGCAATAAGAAGAACCACCAAACTCAGTTACAACAAACAAGAAATAGACACAAAATACAACAAACATACTTCTTAATGCATGTTTTCTCCCACTAGGTAGGACACTGGAAGCACACTAAGAGCAAAACATCATTAGAATCCAAACAAGGCTCTGTTATTATTATGTAAAAAGTAAACGAGAAAGAGACTAGTCTAGTCTTCACACCACAAAGCACAATCAATGTTTAGAAGGATCAAGAACTTGACCCATGAACAAGACAACTCCACTCTTGTCTTCCCTCACCGTGAACAGGAATGGATGGTCAGCTACGAAATCCGGGTTCCTCCTCAAACATTGGGGCACTATGATGGCAACCGAAACGGCTGCAGCTTCGGTTCCCTCTTCATCCACCTCAATGCAAGCTTTATGAAGGATGCTTGAGACCAACAGGTTATTACCGTTGGAAGGCAAATCAATCATCTCAAGTAAACTACCTCCAGAACTAAAAGGCAAAGTCAGCCCCATATCTTTCAAAACATCTGAAGCTTCAAACTCAAAAGAGAAGTTAAACTTTGGAATTCTGAATGCATCTACTGAGACACGGTGGAGTGGTATATGGCTATCAAGAAATCCTGGTTCGGAGCTTATCTTCTCAAGCAAAGCAGCTAATCCATCTTTATCATTAGGAAGATAGATGTACATAGAGAACTGACGTTGATCCTCTACATAAGGAAGGCGTAAAACTTGGAAACCATCATAGCCTCTTAGATATTGGTCCTCGTAGTTGGTCATGAACGGGACTTTCACCGTGTTACCATCAAGAAGATAAAAATCGTTATCTTTTGTCAAATTTGCATCAAATTTGATACTCCATGCTGCTTTAAAGTACACTGCATTGGCTAGAACTAGTATGCTCTCACGAATGGTCTCGATAATCTCGCTAGAATTGCGTGAAAGAATATCTTTGATTAGTCCATTGGTGTGTACTTCAGCCCATGTATTCACCTCATCAATCACTTCCTCAGGCTACATGATAAAAGAATAAAACAGTTGACACATCATTCCTCAAAACTGATGTCATGTATCCTTAAGAAACTAAAGAAGTCAGCCATGAATGGGGTTCAACCACACACACACACACACTTATATATATACATATATATATATATATATATATATATATATATATATATATATAATTGAGGTGGCTCTCTTGTATGCATTATAAACATCTTAATAAAAAGAATATGTGGGTTTTCTTATTTTTCTAGAGATATATAATGTTCTAAAAGGCGGTCTAAACGGCCGTCTAGGCCAGCTAAGCGTTTTGATGGCCGCTTCAACAGCCGAAAAGTTCATAAACATTGTTGCAACGCATTGTTTCTATTTTTTAATCAATTTTCGAGTATAAATATTTATTTTTATAAGTTTTACCTTTGTATATGTAGTATTATTGTCATAAAACATTCATACGTTATAAAAAAAACTGTAAATTATTTGATATGAATTAAATAAATGTTCTTATATTTGTTAATTATTTATTATTTATTGTTTTCTAATAGATATTTATATGTATATATATATATCAAATCTTTAATCTAATTGTCTTAATTGCTTAAAATCATTTAGACTCCGGTTAAGCATCATAGACGTTAGACGTCAGTCCTTAAAAATAAAATTTCCAAGCGATGTTTTGAACATTTTATATACGTTTAAGTTTTGGCCCATAATAATACACTATGGTTATAAAATCAAAGCAAAAAACTTTAAAAAAAAGTTTAACCCATAATGAAAAAAGTTACCTTGGTTGCAAAGTCAACTTGACTACAAGAAGCCTTATAAGAGTTCTCCAAAAGCTCCTTAAAAGAAGCCTTCAAAGAAACAGACTTATCGATCCATACACCGTTAACCGCGGCTAAGCGCAAATCACTTCTCTCGGTGCCCTCCTCGGTGATCTTGGCTAAGACCGAGTTGAGGTGATCCGTTGACGGTGACATAAGGAATGAGAGGATTTGTTCTCTTGTAATGGAACTTGAACCAGCTGCGATGAGACTGAGCAAAACGTTGATCGACGTCGGTGAGAAGACAAGATTGGAGCCATTGGCAACGGTTTCAATAACTTGCTTAGCTAGTTTTACCACAACGTCGTTTTGTTTCTCGATTGATTTTGCTAACTCCATCTTAGAGGTGGGGATGAATGGATCTAACTTCTGAATATTATTTGATTGTTTTAAATACACTTTTCTTGCCCAAAATAAAAGAATACATTTGACTCATCAGCACCCCAACAAACACATACGCATTAAACTTTGTTTTAAATTGTTTTATGTATAAATGTCTACATATATTGTTTATCAAAATCGAGAAATGGAGTTAGAAAAATCAATCGAGAATGTGTCTACCGCCGATTGATACTTTTAACTCCTAACGTGGATAACATTATTTTTGTGCACATGGATAATAGTATAATAGTATTAAACCAGACCGATAGATGAACCAGACAAACATATGGATTACGGTTTAATATGGTCCGACCGGATAAACGAAGAATTTGTCGTGTTGATAAAATTTTACTTTTTTTTTTCCGCAACAAACAAGCTTTCATTAAGAATAAAGAGTTGTTACAGAGACATTATACAGAATTACGTGACACAATTATTATATACGCAGATGTATGTGCCAACCACTAAGAGAAATACAGCAGAAGGGATTTTGACGATGATTTCCTAAGAGTAGTCTTACTCGCTAATCGATCATAAGATCGATTATTTTCCAACTTCATATTTGATTTCTCTTTGATACGATTTGTATGCAGCTTTTTGTGGCTGAACATTATTTTTACAAATCGTAGCTTTAAACCTGATGTATCCAAACATAATTCTGAAAAGTAGGCACTGTAGCACAAAAATTTCCGTACCAAGGTCTTTTTCAAAAGACTCGACTTCGTAATTTTCTTCGAAATAAGCATAATAAGCTTTACCAGTATAGTAGTTCCGACGTTGGTATCCGTTGAATAGACCGCTTTATCCAATATGGTTCTACGTGGAAAACAAAGTAGATGTAGTGTAGCCATTGATGATTTTATTGATCTGAATCCAAGTATGGATGCATTAGTAGCGTTGGCAATGGCTATGAGACACCTTGCCCAGAAATTGTGTTCAAGTTTCTTTCCCACGTTAGTTTTGAAACATTGCCGTGTGAACTTGGCTACTCCATCATTGATGGTCATAACATGGGATGACTTCAAAACATATACAAACATTAATACAGTGAATTGGTTGAATTGGCATATCCCATAACACATTGATGCACCGTGATGCGGTTCTCTCTCTTGGATGACAACTTCGATCATGTAGTGACAGAACCACGACACTATCTTTCTTCCTAGTACAAAAACAACACCAAGGTTATGGGATTTCACTTAATCATTTAAAATCATTTAAATATAGTTTGCGAATTTTAATTTATATGTTATCAAAATTAAGAACCACAATTATCTCATATATATTAAAAGATAAGTACATTTGTGATTTGGGTCGGGTCAATTTAAAAAATTTAACCCGGAAATTATAATTGGATACTTTAAAATCGGATGTTTAATTGGATTTTGATATAAATCTAATACCTCCCCAGCAGATTACATTATTTACATTTCTAATTTTGGATTTATGCAAAGCCCTCAAAAAGATAAATTCTTACTAATACCCTTTCCATTATACCCTTTTGCAAAAAATACCCTATTTTTGGCCATTTTTATTTTTGTCCTTTCTTAATTTTTAATGGTCATTTTATCCCTAGTTAAATGAAAAATCAATTATTCCCGCCAAATATTTTTCCGCCAAAACTTTTCCCCCCATAATTTTATTCCCGCAAGGGATTTTTCTTGGATTAAAAAATTCATAAGGTTTTTAAAGGGTATTAAAAGTAAATTTTAAAGGATTTACAAGGATTTTTGAATGGTTTAAAAAACATTTACAAGGTTTTTCAAAAAGTATTAAAAAGATTTACAAGGGTTTTAAAATAGTTTTAAGAGTTTATAAGGATTTTTAAAAGGATCCACAATGGTTTTTGATGAGATCATGACCAGTCCACTTGAACCACACGAAGACGAGGAGCAGCTTGAAGCCAAGACCACACGTCAACCAAACTCGCCAGTTTCAGAACAGTCGTCCATTCTCAACCCGGCCACTATTAGATCAATCCAGGCACCAATCCGCACAAACCCGCCTGTTTTGGAACCATTGGCCATTCGCAAACCGGCCACGAAGAACATATTGTATTGGAGGAAGCATTGATCATTCCAGCAGGTCCTCTAACAAGATAAAGATCTAAGAAGTTCAACCAAGCCATCAATGGATTTCTAAAGGAGCTAAACAAGAATCAAGAAGACGTGGTTCACTCCTCACTCATAGTGATCACGACTCAAGAGGTTCGGTAAAGAGTTAAGTGTTGCTTATGCACTCTTTTTCCCCTGTCAAGTTTTGTCCCAATGGGTTTTCTTAACAAGGTTTTAAATGAGGCCTAAGTAACATTTTCAAGCCCCTTTATCAGCCGAATTCGTGGTCCAAGGAATACTCACAAAGCCTTGGCCCATTTTCCCTTTTCTCTTCAAACTTTGCATTTATTGCTTTTGTTATTTCCAAGACTCTTTGCATGAGCTTGTATGAGTGTAGACTTGTGCATGCTCTTGCATGTTTTTCTTCTCTTCCCTCCTCTCCTTCGTCCTCCCTCTCTATATAAACTCAATGTAGCTCTCATTTGCAAGGATCAAACATTTTAATCAAAAGCTCTATGTTTTACTTGTTTGATCCAAAACGTTTGTAGTATCTTTTCAACTTGTTTTCTTCTTAATTTGTAATATCTAAGTTGGATCTAAGCTTGTAGGATAAGAGTTTTTCATCACTCTTGGAAGTACATCTAATTCCCCCTTTCATTCCGCTGCATCCACTCGGTCTCGTCGTCATTCCGCTGCTTTGTTCGAGATCAATCCATTGTTCACCATCAACCACACCATTTCAAGTTCAAAACCAACAAAGTGGTCCTTGGAGCATAGATCCACGTCCAGGAGTCTATCAGTTTTTAACGGGGTTTAGAAGTTTATAGGGGGTTTTTAAAGAGTCTACAAGGGTTTTCAAAACTTTACAAGGATTTTTAAATGGTTCTGAGATTATTTACAAGGGTTTTAAATGGTTTTTAAAGTAATTTATAAGAGTTTTAAATGGTTTTTGAAGTTTATAAGAGGTTTTAAAGGGTTTACAAAGGGTTTTAATTGTTTTTAAAGATTTACAATAATTTTTGAAAGAACTTTATATTATAATTTGTATCTTATGTATGTTTTCAAATTCTAAATTTGCAATTATTACAAAATTTTCTAAAATTAAAAATTTTAATTTTATTTAATTTTAAAAAAAATATTTTTTCCTAAAAAACCCAACTTAAGATCCTACCAATAAACACATCTCAAAACCAAAAAAAAATGATAACTCTTAACCTTAACTTTTTCAAATTTAATAATAAATTTTTATGAAAATAGACACCAAGGGAGTGTATTTCTACAAAAAGGTAACCAAAAAACATTATTTTTGCAAATTCCCCTCAAAACAATATATTAAAAACAATTATTCTTCTTTTTCATATTTATTTGATCTTAATTTTAATTTATTATATTACAATTTATGATACAAATGTATAATAAAATTCAACATTTTTTTAAAAAATATGTTGCATTTTGAATTTTTCAATGCGCGAATATATTTCTCGATTGAAAAAACGTGTATGTACAGCGTCTCACATCCGCTAAAATTCTATTTTTGTGATAATTCATATCATTATAAATAAGACTAACATGATTTGAATGAGCAGTAAACTTCATATATCATCCATCCTAATTTAAAAGTTTTATTTGGTATAATCGGTTTCCAAGTTTGAGAAAATTAAAATTTTTGAAAAGCTTCAAAATATTATCATAGTTAAAATTTAAAAATGTATAAAATATTATAAATATTAAAACCTTTAAAAGTTTTCATATTTGATAAAATTTCAAAATATTATAATTTTAATTCTCTTTATAAGTTTAAAATACTATGAATATTGTAACTTTTAAATGTTTCATATATTACAAATATGAAAACTCTTAAATGTTTCATAAATTACAAATATGAAAACTCTTAAAAGGTACAAATGTTATAAATATATTAAACAATTGATAATTATGCAACAGGTCAGAACATATATTAAAATCATAGATAATTTTGCAACGAGTCCTAACATGATACGCATCACTTAATTTTTACAACCAAATAGTTTCTAATACCTAATCTAATGTATATATGATTTCAAATTATATGGACGAATTATTCACTAAGTCAAATTTTTCGATGGTTTATACAAAACCTTTTTAACAAAATACATTATCCAAATATTGATTCAATCAAATTTAATACGAAATACGTTTTACCGATAAACTAATACCAAATATTGATTAAATGTAAATTATGGGTATTTCACGGGTTAGTTTGCTAAACTCAAGACTATAGAGAAACAAATTAAGAATAATATTTTATGAGTCAATTTGTTTCTGGTTGATCCGTAAAAAAAAATATTATTAGTATATAATTTTTGTAACACATGTCACGCGATAGTGGCTAAGACGACGTGCTAATCATCGGATCTTGCCAAATGTTTTCTTTAAACTTCACCCACGAACAAAAATATTGCATACAACTCCTGAAGCAAAATAACTTCATGAAATAGGGAAAAGAAGGGGTGAGTACTCAGTGAGAGAGGATCCTTTCCGCCCATTGGGAAATACGAAAAAAGAAACTACCTTTAAACCATACTTATCAATCACATAGAAAAAGACACAACAATCTACTACTCTGCAACAATGCGCAAAGCTCCACCTCAATACCAGGTTCGATCATCTCTCATGACCTTTTGAACCTATCTAGTTCCAGTGGCTAGGTTCGATCGTCAGCCTTTTATTGAGCTACAAAGAATCCATCAATTCAATGTAGACCATTTCCAGGCTCGATCATCTCTCATGACCTTTGAACCTATCAAGTTCCACTGGGCCCATTAGCCTTTTATTGAACTACAAAGAATGTGTCAATTCAATGCAGACCATTTCCACTTTCATAATCCTTAAAGATGGTAATCTCCTTTAACATATCATACCTTT